ATAGTTGGTTACCTTGGCGTAATTTACACGGACTTCAAGTGCCATTGTCGCTAAGAGGGCAAAGTAATAAATCTAAACGGTTTCTGTTTTCTTCACCGCTTAAACATCCGTCATCATATTACTTGCGTCGGAAGACAAAAAAGCATCGGTCCGAGACCTTTTGAGTAAAACGGCGCAAGAGAGAATTTATGACGAAGAGAGGACCTATATGTTTGCTGAAGGACGAACCCAGCGCACAGCTTTCAGACGCGATGTTATCTGGCGTGGGCACGCCATAGAAGAAGTGATGTAATTCCAAAAATGTTCACTGGAAATAGAAAGAACGGACGGGTGGGAAAGTGTTGGCTGACTAGAAAAAACTCGGAAAAAAACACCCTGGTACTGAAAAAGGGCTAATGAAGGGCTGCGACTGTCAAAGTTAGGGGCAGAAATCCCAAGGAAGGGAAGAGGAAAGGAGTTATGCCCCCATTATCTCTTCGCCAAGACAGTAGAGAATAGAAAACAGCTATCTTCGCTTTCATTCGGGTTGGCACATAAACGAGAAGAGCGCAGCGGCAAGCTGGCCGCATAATATAATGGGATCTCTCTTGGAACAGTTGGCATTACTCATTCCCTCGAAAGGAGTCCGCGAAAAGGTCGGAGGTTGAAGAATGTGTGATGTACCTAGTGGAAAGGTAGGAGAGCCCACTAAGGATACCGACACGCAATTGCAGCGAAGGATATGCTCTAGCATATCCGTGCCCGCGCCACCATCACCCCTGCCAACCCATCTAATCGCCTTCTGGCTTTAGCTGTTCTGCAGAACTTACGGTTAGTGTTAGTTAGGTGAGGACCGGAGCATGGTTAATGCGCAAACCAATGGGCAAAAGAGGGTCCTATATCACCCCTACCTTTATTTCTAATTGGCTGTCTTTTAATCCTGAACTATACTTTTGATGCACTTAATTGGATCTGTTGATGAAGAATAAATCGAAGAATCCTTGAACCGAACTCTGAACGCCGTGTAACGCATCCAAAAGTCATTGGATGGATTCACGACGCATCCAGTTACTTCCAGGTTTTTCAATAAGTTGAACACATGGTGCACTCCGAAGATGCTGCTTGAGGAACATCTGAAGAATAGTTTTTCAGCACATCTTTAGAAACTGTAAGCACGTTCTGAAGACAAAATCTCTAAATCCCTAGCTAAGGCCTAGCAAGCTTCTCATTCATTCTGGGTCGTTAATTCAATATCAGGCCTCCTGTAGGGGGAGGGAAAGAGAGAGACAGAGAAACGGTAAACCTCTAAAATTTATTACAGCTGGCCCACGTATTTCATTACTTAGGAAAAAGCGCATCAGTTGACATTAGGATTTTTAGTGATGGTAAAATCAGTGGATGGTGGTTCAGTGCGGGTTTGTTTAAACATTCCTATGAGATCTTCATTCGGCGCATTCGGTAACTATGGGAAACTTTGACATGGAGCATACATTATACGAAGTTATACGAAAACCTTGTTTCATTATGAAAAATCTTTTGAAAGTTGAGAAAATCTATATATTACTTAATATTATATGTTATGTCCCTAGTTTCTCACGAGGTATCTTTTTGCCATAGGTGGCCACATTTGGTTCAGCTTCGCTCCTCAGATTGACACTACCACATTTTTGGGACATATTCAGACTGGAGTGCCCGCTTGATGTCGGAGCTGTGCACATATAGAAATGGTATACTTTTGTGTTTTGTTAAAAAAGTGTCATAAGCGAGAGCGCGCCCCTCTGAATAAATTATTGAGGCATATCGTAGCGCACGTTATTGGTCAGTGTACGCAGCTAGCAAAGAGGCTATTTTTGAGGTCTCACTTACTCTTTATTTATTTGGTGCTAGGTGGAGGGTTTTTGTGTCCCTTACATTTGTGTCAGATGCCAACATCGCAAGCACGATGAAGGTGGTGACACTATAAGCCGAACCGGTCAGAGGACTGCGCGGCGTTCCACGTCAGTGTTGGAGATCCCAACCTCCGAGGTTCTGACAGTTCCGATGGAGGGGAAGTGATATTGGTAGACTACTATGACGACACAGATTATGAAGCAGTAGAAGACGACGAAACTCATTAGAGCAGAAGCACTTAGTCAGACCCGGAGCGCTTCTACGGAATGTAGCTTGCAGTTCTTCCCAAGTGGTTGTGCTGCTAGGCGACATTGGCTTTGTTACGAATAAGATATATGAAGTGGAAAAGTCCTACGACACTTTTCAAATTTTTTGAGTATTAATTCTTATCTGTATTTGTTTACAAGCCTAAGGGTATAATGTATGTGTATACTATACCGGTCATATATCTATCATGAGTGTCCACCACTTGTCTTCAACGCTCAGAAAATTTCCTGATGCTCCTTTCCAAAACCCAGCGGAGTGCGGGTCAAGAAAGGAGGCGACCTCACTTTCGAGTTGGAGTTGATCGTCTAATTATTTCGTTATCAAGATGATGATTAAGGTCCAGGATAGGTGCAGTCATTTATAGCTCGACCAGGGGATTACGCTAAGAGAGGTAAGAAATCTTGCCGCAACTCCAGAATTTCTTACCGGGCTCATTTCGGATCATGGTGATTCGCAATGTCATGAAAGAAATGAATATTGTCGCGGTACGAGGGCTCTTGATGAGCTGCCTCGGCCAGCTTCTGGTATTCCGCAGCCTAGGCCTCTACCTACACAATGGTGCCCATAACGAAGAATATGTAGTGGAGCTTCTGTAAGAGCCCTACCTGTAATGGAGTGAGAGGGACGCTGCTGGCTTCTTATAAAAATATCAAAAGATCGGAAGCGCTGGTAAAGCTGAAACACGCTGTAGCGGTACACGACATGCCTTTGAAGCGATTGCAGATAGTGTTGGTCTTTGACACGGAATCCATAGTTATGTAGACATTTGTACTAGACAGTGACTCGGAGTGTGGATTTACTAGTGGTCGAGGTTTTTCGAATTTTCTTGATAACTACTTACTGCAGCACTTATATCCACCTCGTGGATTAAAGCCTCGAGAATGCTCTACCATTTGTTAGTCATAAATGTTACCTATGGATTTTCAGAAAAAAAAGAAAATTTTAGAAAGAGTGTCGCAGGACTTTCTTGCCAACCTAATATATTCGTAAATTATTAAGAATCTTATATGAAAAAGCTTCGCCTCCATTACCACAGAAAAACGATACCCCTTTAGGCCCCTAGTTCATGAGCATACAAATAGAACACAAGACAAAATGATCACTCTTTCCGTGGAAGATTCCTTTAAGGTATCGTTTTCTGTGGTAATGAGGGCGGAGCTTTTTCCGTGGAAGATTCCTTTAAGTTCCAACTTACATTTCAAAAATACCCATCGAGCGGTGATGGTGTGGTGACAAGAGGGGCCGCTACCGCGCGTAGTCCCTGGATCAAAATCCCAGGTCAAATCCAGCGTACATCAGCCAAACTTCTACAGGTGATTAGTTGTTGCAAGGAGCGATAGTGACTACATAAAACACATCGGTAACTCAATTCAAGAAAGTCGTAGTCTAAGGGTTAAGAAGTAGCATGGGAATGGAAAGAGATGGGAAAATGGGAAAGAGCTGTGGAGCGTTTCGTATTTTTTAAGGGCTCTTCGAGCAAAATTGAGATCATCGCAATTTTCGCGAACTGCATATTCTATTACAAAACGCCTGATTGGTCAGGCCTGACAATGGCCGGTCACTCTTGAAGCAGGAGAGGTCTTTGGTGTCTTGTTCCTGCTTGGTTCTTTACGACTCAGTGGAAAAATTTCATCTGAACCATAAATTGCAAGCCCTTGTGGTGATCAGTAATGAATCAGGGAAAAACATCTGCCAACGCAGAACGTTTTCCGTCAAGAAAAAGGTCAAACGGCCAATTTAAGGCCCATTTGTCGCCGTTTTTGTTGTGACGCCATCCGCTGAACTGTAAGATTGATTTTCGCGCGCATGAAAAAGTTCAAAGCGGTTAGCTAGGCCTTCATCAATCGCCGTGACTTTAGTAACTGTCTGATTGTGCTGCTGAATCTCACTCATGGGAAAAAACGACTTGAGACTGGCAGCGTGACCGTGACCGTAGTTGTTCTCGCGCAAATATTTAGAACTTTGAAGAGAAGTGGGTGTTTAAGAGACACAGCGGGGAATCGCCATAAAAGGCCGATCATAACCGTAGATGGTAGGTTCGACAGCAACAGTCATGGAGGATCTGAAACCTCGCCTGGCTGCTTATCGCTTTGTCGCCTATACGGCGGTGATTTTCTCGGTGATTGCGGTATTGTCGATATGCTTCACGTTGCCAATGGTCTACAGCTATATCCATCACGTGAAAAAATCTCTCCGAAACGACATCAAATTCTGTCGAGTGAGTCCTTCTGGCCCTGTTGTTCTAGATAGCCTGAATACAATCCGTTCTCAATGTTTCAGGGCTCGGCACGAGACATCTGGGATGAGGTGAACTACATCCAGAATGCCCCACCATCAAATCGCACACGACGTCAAGCCGATCCATGCGCTAATTGCTGTCTGCCAGGTCCCGCTGGTCCTCCTGGACCAGCTGGAAGACCTGGCCGACCCGGAGCTCCTGGAGCCCCTGGAATGCCTGGCCATCCTGGCCGTCCTCCAGCGCTTCCGTGCGAGCCTGTAACGCCACCACCATGTCCTCCCTGCGAAGGCGGTCGCCCTGGGCCACCTGGACCTCCCGGACCGCCTGGACCAGCTGGAGGTCCTGGCCAAGCCTCAGTGGCAGCAGCCAATCCTCCTGGACCCCCTGGACCGAAGGGTCCACCAGGACCACCTGGAAAGCCTGGAGGACCTGGACAAGCTGGTGCGCCTGGCCAAGATGCAGCAGGCGGTTATGCAGGTGCCGGAGCGCCGGGACCAGCAGGACCACCCGGACCACCTGGTCCCCCAGGACCCAATGGACATCCAGGAGGCGGCGGTGGAGCTGGTGAGTTTCTGTTAAATGATTGGATGTGCTGAGCAACTGTTAACTCGGTCATTGGTTGTGTCATTCAGGTACTCCTGGACCAAAGGGACCACCTGGACCTCCTGGTCAACCTGGACCACCTGGAAACCCTGGCGCACCTGGTCAGGCTGGCACTGCGGGACATGGTGGAGAGCGTGGAATCTGTCCGAAGGTATTGCGCTATCGATGGTGGTGTATTCTTCGACGATGGCAGCTTCCGACGTCGTTAGATGAAGTACAAGACGAATTCCTCAATCTCTTTTCTTCGAATCTAGCCATAGACTCGATAAATCTAGCAAAAGCAAGCGGTTGAATCTCAGTTGGAGGGCCAGTTCATAGCTGCATTACGAAATGCACTTTTAGCTTAGTCACAGATCGCTAAAATTGGGCCTGGGGTGAGGAGTACAACGACGCCTCGACAGCTGCGTGGCAAACGACTCCGCGCCCGTCACACGCATCACGTGCTACAGTGATGCCGTGCCGTCGCAACGACTTAGGGTAGTTTTAGAAAGGGACCTCCAGACTCACACTCAAATCAACGTTTTGTCAGAAGTTTAGGTAGCCTATGTATCCGTGTTTGTCCATTCAGTAGTAACTGATACGGACGAGAATCACGTGCATGACTTATGTCGGCGTTCTACGGAGAACTTGTAGTGCATTACGTTCGTGCGGCTCAGGATGCTACTAAGCGAAATTTTGTGTTTTACTTGGAAGATGTTTTGCTCTATTTATCTTGTTTCTATCCCCAGCAAATGAAGCGCGTGAGAGAAACCGGGTATGTTTGACCTCAGAGAGCCTAAACTGATATGATGTAATATCCACCATCTATACTATCCAGGAAAACGCCTGGGGTCTCTGTTCGTGTGTCACGAAATACATAGCAGGGCCAGCAGCATTGAAGGCGCCTAGTCCCTTAGATATGATGTTAGAGTGCCGAGGACGAAGTGCGCTATGTGGGGAGATGGGGGGGGGGCAAAGAGGTGCGTACTATAAGGCGGTATAGACATGCAGCAGCTGAGGGGCAGTCAGTAAATTTGTATTGTGATACTAGCTTCAAGAACACCGCGTACGTTGCAGAAAAAGAAAACGCGCTCGGAAAGCATAGGCTGCTCCCAGTATCGAATTCCTACCTCATACAGAGTGGCAAAATTACTAGTTGCACCTTATTTGGAAAGGTTCGTCCATTCACTTTGTAACCTTCCCGTTTCGATTCTCTTCATAATGTTGCTTGAACTATGCCACTACAAACAATGCGGGGCGCAAAATTAAGTAATTGGGAGCTACTTCTTGAACAGGTAAGGTCCTTCCTGTCGTCATGCCTCTTCAATTGAACCGGTCGCGTCAGGGCTGCTTCCGTAATCCTGGGACGAAATTGATGATGAAAATGACGGGTGTCCCCCAAGAGGCCCGTCGCGCGGCGAAGGACGAGTCGCAGCGCGTGCTGTGCGATATGAGACGTAGTATGGTACACTCTATTTAACCTGACGCCTAACCGCTACAGTATGCGCTGCGACCTTTGCCGCGTCTGCGTCTCTTCCTTCGCCACGCAACGGGCCTCTTGGGGGACACCAGAATATGCCGCATGCGATGCGTTCGCAAAAGTTCTGGAAGTGTGTGAGGCTAGAGGCCATTTTTGAAAGCAGTGCATAGATTTTGTATTGTCATCTTTTCTTCAAATATTATTCATGGCTACAGTTATTATTGAAGGTAATTCCCGATAGGGAAACGAAATATTTGCAACATTTGGTCCACGCATTACGCACTTTTTACAAAGTGGTTCGCCCTTCCATTTTGTGGAATGCAGCCATCAAACTCCAATAGACGCGATCTCGTCGAATCTCTCTAATTTCGAAATATTTTTTCAAATAGCGCTGGAACTCGATGTTTGCCACAAACCTTGAGCGTGTTTCAAAGGATATGCGGGCGAATGTAGAAAGCCTCTGCTTCAGCACCCTGGCAGAGCGCATGGTCGAAGAACCAGTAGCTAGGCGAATTTCATTGATCACATCAAATCACAATAAAAATGGGATCTAATTCTTCAGATCTCACATAAAAAATATTTTCACGTATGAGCCCCCTTGAAGCGAAAAGTCTGCTCTATCAAATACCCAAATTTGAAGGCTCTCATAACTGCGCTTTTGAAATCCTGAGACGAAATTGACGAAAAATGGTAGTGTACCGTATGCGATGCGTCTGCCAAGCGTCCGTAGAACAGCTGGAAGTTAGAGCCGATTATTTGGGAAATCGCTGCTATGCTTTTGATTGCCATATTTTCTACAAGCAATATTCATGATGTTTCATATCTGTTATATTAGATGCTTTCTTTGAGCAGCTTGATCCTGGGCTGAAATGATAGGATAACACTGATGATCCTTATTCAGAGGCAACTTTCATGACAGGGTAGAATGGATAACTTGGAGCAACGTGCATATAGTGAAACAAGTCAGACTAAAGAGTTGCCATACAAACCTTATTGATTTTAGAAAACTGAATTCCACAACAAAACCTTGGAGGAACTTTGAGGAACAGAGTTCACAAGAACAAAATGACCGCTTCATTTCACATAGAAATCTGATCGTAAGGGAAAAAGTGTAAAATGACAGCAAAAAATCTAGAATTGGTTGTTACTCTAGGCGATCGTTTCTCACAGAGTTCACTGTATAATGCATTTCAAGGCAGTGATTACGATAGGTTCAAGAAGGGTTTATAGGAGACTGGTGGTGCTCAATGGTACGCCAGTGGCGAAAAAAGCGGAGAAATCCGTCAAGAAAACGCAAAACGGGACCCCTTTTTGGCCGTTGGTTTTCACTCATGAACAGGTAACAGCTCAGAAAGCGGACGTATGAACGAGTTCAGCGCAACGCGTTTGGTGACAGCATGCCAATCCATGCTCCAGTCGAGTTGCTTCAGTTGTGCCGCTGCTGGCAACGCAGCTCGTCCAAATCACCAACTAAACTAGTGGGCGGATCGCTTTTGGGGCGGAGTGCTTTCGAAGTCCTGCTCAGCAACCAGCGCACCTTTCGTCGTGAAAGCGCCACACCTCGCTTCCCTGGCAGCCAAGTAACTGATTCGTGTGGTGCATATGCTTCCCCGATGCGCTCCCACTTTATCGTAATCGCTGCCTTTAATCCTCAGTTTCAACAGACTCATACATGAATGCGCCATAAACTCGTGCTGAACTCAAAATCTTAGCGTGTTTGGGCCATGATCTGAAGTCTTAATGTACAATAAGAAAAGCAATTGGCGTTGCTCCATACTTTTATTGGAGTGCGCCACGCATCCTATTTATACTGTATTCAGAATTGTTGCAGAACATGAACGTGATGTGGCCTTACAATGACATGGTGGGGTCACCCCCGGTAAAAGCCAATGCTTTTATTCTCAAAGAAATGTCTGACACCACTTGTCCGACCCCGGATGGTGGATGGAGGACTCGGTTGGCTTCGGACGCGTGTAATCCTGGATCGTGCGCGAGGTAAACAGCGATATTGCCACTGTACCAATTCCTCCCTTTGCTGTCACTCTCTTGCGAACAGCGTGACCAATGAGTGACTCAGAGGCAACGTTTGGGGTTTCTAGTCGAAAGTTGGCCGTTCCACATCAAATATGCAGTGATACGCAAGCTGGAGCATGTGCAGGAGCGGCGGAGAAGTTTGACAGGCTAAGGCGCTAAGAGCCAAGGACGGAGCATTGGCCAACTGAGCTCGCCCAGCGTTCCACGTAGCCATCCAAACAACCACTTGGAACACTAGATGTTAAGCTGTTTTTTGGAAGGTCGTAGGAGGTTATTTAGCGGATTTCAACTGCCAAGTTCAACATCAAAGCCTATGTTACGACCATTATCGGGAACGTTGTCATTCATTCCAGTGACCACAAATTTTCAAGATAGGAAGCAAACAAAAAAGCACAGATAAACAAAAAGTAAGAAAATTTTGAAACAGTGAAATTTTATTGCTGAATTTTTATGGCCGTGCGGTTGTTATGGCATA